CCGCCTAAGAAGGCACCGCCATGTGCAGTGAGCCGTGCCAAGCCCGGTGGCACAGTCCCCGGCGTGCCAATCAGCTCGGCCATAGCGCCGAACGATCCTCACTGGTGCAAGCCAGGGTACAATCCCTGTGAAGTCCGCGCCTTCGGACATTGCGCCGGCGAAGCCTAAGGCTCCACCACCTGGGTATAGTCCAGGGGAGCGTTCTGCAGCGTCGGCAACAGTTAGGCCGATTGATACCCGCTATGGATCAGGTGATGATCCTCAACCTCGGAGCATAGCACATCCGAAGCAGACTGAACGTCATAATGCCGCCACAGCGCGGTTTCATGATGACAAGCCGACCGACCCACATGGTCGAGATCTGGTCCTACTCAAGGTGCACAATATACATGGCCCTTGGCTTGACACTCCGCGTCCGGGCACTGTATACAACCCAGATTTGGTGCTACGTCCTGCATATGTGGGCTCCACTACGCCGACTATAATCGTCGATGTCTTTACGTGGGGCACCGAGAAGGACGAATGGACAACCCGAATCTCCGACAAATGGACGGGAGAGGACCTATATAGGTACCACGAACAAATGCTCACATATAATGTGACGACCTCCTCATCGAGGACGAGCTTTATGGTTATCTACGTCGACATGACGTGGCTCGAGGATTACGCGTGGGAGGCGATGAGCCCGTCTGATAAACAGGCGGCGGACGATAAGCGCAGGGAGAATCGTCTCCACGTGGGCAGCCACCCAGACATATTACTGGAGTACACCAACCACGAAAATTTCGTTGAGAATGCGCGATACGTCATCAATAACATCAAAGATGCTATTGAGGCCGGCATCCAACAGGTGGCTGTGCACACAGTGTGCAAGATGAACAGACATAGATCTGTTGCAGGCGGTATCCTACTTTTCGATATAATTCGACGCCTCACGGATATCTCCATTAGCCTGACTCATATGAACGCAGCGTACTCATGGCCCTTCATGGGCAAGCATTCCTGCAAGGGGCAGTGTATGCACTGCCAGCATAAAACTGCTGACATAGTCAGTCATGTTGCTCACATATGTGATGCGTTTGCCCGGAAGGTATTCGACGACGGCACAGTCCGTGAGAACGCCACATTGGTGGTGGAGCCTTCCACAGCCCGCCCTAGAGGGGCGAGAACCTACTCAGAGATTTTCAATGATCAGCAGATCGCAGCCGGAAACGTGCAGACCCCTATACAGGGAGTTTCGTTGCTTGATCAGCCTCCGAGACTCGGAGAGACCGCCACGCAGGCCGCCACGCGCATGGGCCTGGCAGGCAAGACCCACACACAGTATGTGGCGAAATACAATCCTGACAGCCTAACCGGTGCTATGAACCGCACCGTGAACGAGCCAAAAGGGTATCCGATACCTTCTGCCGTTTATGTTACTAGCATGGGACCGCCCCCTAAGGCCGAGGCTAAGGCCAGTGGTAGTAAGGCGATGCCAGCCAATAAGGCTGTGGCAGCTGCAAAGCCACTACCGCTACGATGCGTGCGCTTGAGTCTCAGGTCAAAGACCTGACGGATGCCAACCATATGTTGGAGTCGCAGAATGCTGACTTACGCGATCAGCTGCATGAGACTCGTAGACAGCGTAACGAGGCCTGGGAAGAACTCGACGAAGAGCGTCGAAGGGCAGACGAGGAGCGTCGGAGAGCCGAGCGCGCCGAAGCCCGCATCATACAGATGCGAGATGAACGCTCTTCGAGAAGGCGGAGACGCAGCTCCTCTTCCGACCGCGACAGACACAGGTCGCGAGACCGTAGGGACAGATCCTACGCGGACGAGCGCAGAGGCTCCGTCCGCGATCGCACCCGCGATCGTGACCGCCGGGTTCTTAGTAACCCGAGGGATCGCAGCGAGCCAGCACAGGCTGCGAGACTCTTCCGGTGGGGACGAGGTCGTGCACGCCAGGACACAGCTCCTGAGGCAGAGCCGGAAACGATTAGGCCAACTCCCGAGCCGGTGCCTACAAGGCCTGTGCATCCAGATCACCCGCCGCCAGGTCGTGGTGCCCCTTCCACAGTAGGAGGAGGAAAGTCGAGCGGCAAAGGCACTCGTAGCGCGAATCCAATGATGAGCCCGATGAGGAGTGGGACACCCCTGGGCCGAGGGGGCCATTGAGAACTCCTCCAGCACCGCCGGAGCCACCGCTCCGAGAGCCTTTACCGCACAGTCGGTTCCCAGATCGGCATAACCCGCATCGCCC